CAGCTGCACACTGTTCTCAAACATTGAATTCATCCAAGCTGTGTCGTGTCGAGGCACATAAAGTTGATTATTCCGTGAATAAATGCAATTGCAGATTTCGAACAGAGATGGCGACAAAGACGAAAAACCCAGCTGCGGCTTTAAGCGTGACTGTGATGCTATAAAACAATCTTCATTGTAAAAAGCGCTATATTGGCATGGGGTACTTTCCATAAGATCATCTTTCAATGCAAATCAAACCAGCTATTAGGCTAACTGAAGTAAAACCATGCCAATCTCTAGGTGTGGTGGAAGGTGTGTGATGATGTGGGGATATTTTAATTCCAAAGGCCAAGGGAACTTTATAAGGATGCATATTATCCTGGATCCATGAAATAACTGGCTTTTAAAAATAAAAATCTGCCTGACTCTATGGGAATTTAACATAGGGGTGCCCAGACTTATGCACCCTGTATTTTAAGGAAAAACATTTATTTATTTATGATACATTATTCATTCACAAAGAAAATTTGTGTCCTTAAAGGTTGGAGTTTTCCTCATTTTTCTAATTAAGGCATTAAGATCAATATCCAAAAGATGATTTTTTTTATTCCTCTTTTTAGGCAACTTTAGCATGGGTGCCAAAACTTATTCATACCACTGTATATATATATATATATATTTATATATATATGAGGCATTTTAATTGTTTATTAATAAACTATTGTTTTCTAAATCAGTGTCGGCTAAAAACATATCTCCGGATCCACCTTTAGAGAGAAATGCACCTTTCATACGGATTACATAATCAGAAGGTATTCTATTCAAATTAGTTTGTTTTAAAGTGGACATTTCAAGCTTTAGCCTATATAGGCTATATTTTGTTTTAGGTCTCACGCTTCAGTTCACGGAGACCATGAAAGAGTGTCTGATAGGAAAATGCAAGTGTTTGCGCCCATTCTCGTCCGTTCCTATGGGCAGAGCTTACAAAGCCTGTGGGCAAGCCCCCTCTTTGTGTGCCATGGCGCTGCTACAGGCCTATCAGGCCAGAGCATTCATGGACATGTACGAGGCTAGCTCAGTCCGTGCGCATATATGAGCAAGCACTAGTTGCTTTTTCGCTGAGGAGCAGAGCGTAACTCGGAGTCAGCGGTGGTCCAGCAGTAGTGGCAAGGGGACTAAATCCTCCGTTCTCTCCTTCCCGGGACCACCTGGCAGAGAAGGGAATCCAAATTGGGAAATATAAACTAATTGTGAAGCAAAATGTTGCCAATCACCTTTTTTATGTTTATTTCATGGCAAAAATAAGCTTTCATACTATTTTATGTGACTTGTAATGTAATTGAAATGGGCTTTAGAACTTTCAGTCTGCAGTATATTTTAGATAGTGTATTGTACTGATAGAGAACTGCTGATTTTTGCACATGTGTGTCAGTGTAGCTTGTTTAATTGTGTGCGTGTGTGTATCACCACATTATATCTTGACTGTGTGTATCTGTCTGACTCAGCTCAATGGTTTCAGAGGCCAGATGAAGTGCTAATTATTTCAGATATGTACTGGATAAAACATGCCTAGTCCGCACCATTCACTACCCAGAATACCACGGCATTAATCACGTGCGTCAGCACATATTCATAAACACTCATTAAAGCCACAACATTGCACTTTTTCACACAACACTACTCCCTGTCAACGCTAGACACAGTTTTCTGAAAATAAAGCGTGGCCATCTAAGAAACCATATTGTCTAATGAACTCCGTGTGGGAAGCTAATTTTTTAGGTCATGATCACCAGTTCTAAACCAAGTTGACAGATTTTAGAGTATTATATTAAAATATTATAAAATACCCGTGCAAAATCTGTATGTGTGTTTAGTAGTTGTTGGTTTGGTACGTTTGAGTTGAATAGTCTTGGCAACTATTACACAGGTGCCTAAACTCTGAGAAACGATAACGATAATATATATATATATATATATATATATATATATATATATATAAATATAAAAATAGCATGAAAACAGAAGAAATATCTCTATATTGAAGATAATGTGTTTTCTGGAGCATGGTGAATGTTGTTATGTGACTGCCAGTGGAACAAATTACCTCAAAGATTGAGCCACTGGCTTTTCAGGAGATTGTTAAAAAATAAAACAATAATAATAAAAAAAAAACTATTTGGAAGGACGATTTCACTAGTAACGTTCCAGTAGAGGCAGACTGTCAAATTATTCTAGGAGGTAAAAATTCTAAAAGAAATGCTTAACACTTTCCAAGCAATTACACTTGACCGGAGGGAAAAAAAAATCCACTTCTGCTCAGCCATAATCTCCATCTGTAATTCTACATCACAACAACAATGATATCTGTATCTTCTTCATTAAGATAAAATAGTGCAAATAGATCCAAGTGAATAACCTGTGATTTACACAATCATTTCAAAATGAAGTGTTCTTGCTCCAGAGCTTATTTTTGGTAGGTCTAAGAGAAGATGGAAAAGACATGGACATTATAGAGTTTGTAAAGTCAGAGGCAGAAACATGCAGAGCTTGGCAGATGGTAAGACATCTTAGGGAAGTCAAATGCTTAAAGCTCGTCACCGACTGCTCGCCAATATCAGAGGTGAAGGTGACTGCAAAATTAGTAACTTGCAGTGCTGAAATATTTTTAGAAATGTGTTGAAATGACTTCACACACATTTTGTGCTCTTTAAGATCAGACGTGGCAAATGCACTGACATTTGATAGAAATGGAATGAAACTCAAAGTGAAAAATGCAGCTGTCACACACTGAACCAAAGACAGCCTAAACAGCAGGGGGTATGGATTGCTTTTTCTCTGTTTCATCACATTTGACAATGCCATTAAACTCAAACACAGGCAATACCTTAACTCATATTCAGATTGGAAGTTTTACGTCATGTGCCTCTCGTCTCCTCTCTCCAAGACATATTTAGATTCGATTGATACAATCAATAAAAGTCTAGATAAAGAAGTGTTATCTCTTCCACCCTACTGCTGTCTGGATTATCAACAGGCTGCTTTATATGGGCGTCACGTACAAGTGGCTATACATAGTGTATGAATACATTTCATATGCGGTAGAAACTGATTAGCCTCTCATTTATGTAAAGGACCCATTTCTGCAGGAAATAAAAAAAGTGCTTTGTTGATGTTCAATAAGTGTATGAGTCTCAGTCTGGGTGTTTTCGCTTGCAGATGTATTTCATTTTGGGATTAAATGGTGAAATAAAATGACAAAGGATATAACCATTACATACAGCACAAGCTATCCATTATAATGCATGGTACAAATTGTATGATTTTGGGCTGTCCCAGACACAAGATGACCAATCATGGCGATTTCTGTGGTCGTGGCTACGATCCTACGTCGTACAGTGAGAGGTTCTAAGAAGATACAATACAAATGCTACATGAAATGCCTTATTGATCAATGCTAAATCTTAAAACTACTTACCTCTATTTCCATTTTTCTTCTTTCACTTCCTCCTCTTTTTTTTCAGACCCCAATTGCCAAGATGAAATTCATCTTGCTCCAGTTTATCACTAGTGAATGCTAATACTAACTTGTGTCGTAGCCTACAATTTAATAGATGCCATCATCATACAGTCTACATACATATTCCCAAGTTTAGATGTTGTACAGATTTGTAATGATCTTAGGTTTGCCAAATTCACAGACTGTCAATTACTGAGATTTAGCTTCCAATATAGACCCTGCTCAGACCAAATTCTGTTTAATGAAGTTGGATCCCAAATGGATCCTTAAATATATATTGGTCAAATATTGTTCCAACAGTGTGTTTGAAGATAAAAAAAATAGCCAGTGAAGAAATTGCTCACAAATGTAATGTCTCTTGAGATGAAGTTGGACAAAATGACCTGATAACATCTTAACATTGTGCGATAAAGCTTATTGAGTTGGTGGATATAAAGGAAAGTGGGATGCAATCTGTTCTTTTTTTTTAAGTAGATGGGAACATCTCAAAGGCATATATTACTCTATACCAGTACACTATAAAACATCAAGACCAGCAGTCAGTGGTATAATTTAACTGGTGGAAACTGGAATCTATCATGAATCTGGCAATCCCAAAAACGTGCCCGAAAACAGCAATACTGATGACAAAATTATGTTTTCATAATGTTTAACTATAGGGTTATTATACCATATGTTAAAAAAAAAAACAAAAAACTATTGTATATTAAAGATAAAACTGTAATACTAAGCCTAAAATACTGTTATTCCAGCTGAAGAAAGAAGTGTTATACCTTCTTGCTCTGTAAAACAATGCTCCTTTTATACGAGTATCTTGAAATACCCAACAACAGCTCAACAAATAGTGTGATTTTGGGGCATGGCTATTGTTTGACTGACCAATTGAATGAATAGGAAATATGTGTGATACCCGTTTATAAATAAAGATTTATTTTTTTGTGGTTCCTTGCACATTACTATGTAATGACACTTTTATCATAGTGCATGATTTGCAAATTAATACATTTAATCTTTGCATCACATAATCAGCTCCATATTTATGGCTTTCCTATGTAGTAAACTTGCTCAGTAGCTCACCTACAGTGTTGCACATGTGATACAGATGGTACGAGTCCCATGAAACACGAGTCACCGCGCTTGATAAAAGAGTGCAAAGACTTGTAGAAGCAAATTCGTTTTTTTTTTTTTTATCACACATTTGCTTTTGTTAACATTATAGGTTAGGTTTAGTGAAGGTGGTACGTTATTTTCAAACACAAATCTTTTAGCGGGAGTCACCGAACATTTAATTTCCGAACTGCATGCGATACGAACGCAACGTTCATCTGTTTTGGATAAATCTGAACCATTCATAGAACCACTCATTGGACATGGAGCAATGTATCTTGCTGGGCTGTTGAGTTTTTTCAGTGAGCCTGGGTTGGTAAATCTATATTAACAAGCACAGATATTTTTGCCCATCATCGTTGTCCTCAACACATAATAAATGTGAACAGCAGTAAAAAAATTGAAGTGGCTTTATTGATCAGGAAACAAGCACAGCATTAGCATATCTGGAGCTCACAGCATTCTACAAAGGGAGGTGACCCTTACATCAAAGCAGTGATGAGATGACGTAGAACTCTGCTAATTCCAGAGGTGATCAAATCACAATGGTTTATCAAAGTCATGTGACACAGCAAAAGCTCCATTGAATGTCTCTGTGAAGTGCTACTCTTTTTCATAGTTCATTTCTTTGCATCTGAAACTTACATTCGTCAAATGGTCTCATCCTGATACCAAATCCCCTCCCCGCCTGACCATAGCTAAAAATCTTATACACAAACGTACTGTACATGTAGGCTACACACACTCAACGATCACACGCTTCTGTATCAACCAGTCACAACATTATCCAAACCCCAGTAGGCCTTTTTGATATACAATACAGTATCAACACTGTTTTTGGGAGTGTGTGGCGGATGCTTCTCATCTCAGGTACACTGAGATTCAAATTCATTTTGTTTTTGCTTTTTTTGTTTTTTTGTTAAGAGGTTGTATGACTAAATGTGAACTGACACCTTTTAGAGAATTCCCATTTTGTTTCTTAGATTTCATTCATCGCTACTTTTGTTCCCACCGAATATGACAGCACAGTTTTGAAAATTTTCAAAGCAAGGATTGCGATTTCAGTGTCTGGTGACAGGATCATTTGAATGTGTTCTTGTTTTCACTCAACAATGACAAACCTGCCTCTTAAAATATATATACTTTTTTTCTCAAAAAGGCAGCATACTTAAAAAAAATATACTGTTTATATTTATATATATCTATATTCCAGATGTTTCAACAAAAGTAATGGTCCTTGCAGACAGAGTCCGAAATTTTCATATGCGTTTTTTCGCATTCGTTATTCGGTGGCTCTGAATTGTCAAAACACCTCTCAAAATGCTTGCTACGGATGCGAAAAACACAGAAAATCCAACCCGATCCAAATTTTTTGGCAGTGTGTAAACATGATTGACACAGCGTGAGGTCGTTTTTTTTTTTTTTTTAACATGCGAAATTTCCGGATGATAATTTCGGACAGAGTGTGCAAAGACCTTACGTCTTGGAACATTCACGCCAAATGAGAAAAGATTATTATTTAATTTTTTTTAGCATCTGGTAAAATAGAGCTGATTATTACATCACTGCATCCTTTTAGAAACAATGTAATCTTAGAATACTCATAAATCGTTTGGTACTAAAAGTATTGAATCTGTTCATGAAAAAAAAAAAAAAGGTTTGCCTGTTGATGTTTATCTGTTTTGTCAGATGGATCCCCTACTGATACGACATATCTTTAATGTGTTTCCATTGCATTAGTGTCATATTTACACAAAGAATGTTCATATTTATCATTTGCTTTGCAATTGTACGTATATAACAAGCTTAGGACACAATATATAAATCTTTTTTAGTTTTGACCTTTACATTTATATGTATTTAAATCGATGTCTGTTTGTTAATAACTTCAGTGTTTGGAATGTTGATAAAAGAGTCATATGTTTCTAGTGCATTTACTGAACCTGTGAATTGTGTTGAGTACATTTTTAGAAACATCCCGAACATCAAAACTCTGCATCGACCTTCTCCACACAGCGGCTAGAAAATAATGAGGAGGTAAAACAAAGAGTAAGGCCACATCAGAAATTGCACACAATGATTCACATGACGATGAATGTCCCAAAACGGTTGAATTCTTTTTCTAGTGTAGAACCAAAGACAGATTATGCCACGACTATTAATGCTTAGTGGTATGAGCACCTCCAGGTTTTTCTCAGTCATGCAGTTCTTGTCACTCCCGCTGCTCGTCTAGAACTTTCTCTAGGGTTTCTCTTCGTCTTTCATTTAAAGATAACACATAATAATTAACAGCTGTACTTTTGGAAAGAAAAACATTCATATTCACAGACAAAATTATACATGTGTGGGCAGCCCATCGACATGGCGAACCCACACGGAAGCCGCTTGCAAAGATCTGCTTCTCCTGTTGATCCTCTGGTAGGCTTTCATCAACTTCATCTCAACATTCCTTTTCTTTTTCAAATCTGTCAAGCTAATAGAGAATGTGACTAAGAGAGCTGTCGCCCGTGACATCCACCTTGCGCAGTGTCGACAGGGTACAGATTTAAACTTCAAACACTTCACGTTTAAAAGAACCACTGGAAAGTAATTACTCCTGTTCGACTGGTGGACAAAAGAAGGAAAAAAGACAGAACTGAAAAGGAATAATCACAATGAGAAAGCTAAAGCAGCTGTCAAAGAAGAGCGTGGCAAATCCAATAAATGGGCATTGGGCCGGGATGGAGAATGGTGTAATACAGTGCTAATTCAGCCCTGATGGGTGTTGCGAGACGCCCTTTTTATGGGGGGTGTGGGCGGCAGGAGCACAGTAGACTGGAAAGCTTTGTGCCTGGGTCTTTAGTTGCAGGTCCACCAATCAGGCGCCTTACAGGTCTTCGACTTTGGAATCAAGCGGCTAAGTACACAATATCTGTTTCTTGGCCGTTTCCTTGTTCGCTGTGCAACTTTCTCAATCGGCCATGGCAAAGATGCAGCAGACTTTTCGATATGTGTCTCTGTGTTCTTTCTGTTTGGTGTTTATTTGAAAGAAAGAAAGAAAGCTGCAGTAAAGGAGAAAGGCGTGAGTTTGGTCTGAAGATGATCATGAGGGGGTTTCCATCAGCCTTGGCCTCACTGTGCTGGCTTATGAAGCTCAGGTAGTTCTACATAGTGAGGTTTCCAAGAGCAAACAACAGACCGAGAATCAAAGCATCAGTTAGGGCTTTTGTGTCCGGACCTGAATTTGTGGGCACCTCTACTCTTGTGCCAGGAACCTGTGAACAAACAAACAAAATATTAGGCTACACTTTAGATTAGGATCCAGTTCTCAACTCATTATTAACTACTACTTTTGCCTCAATAAATGCCTAACTACTGCTTATTAATAGTTTGTAAGGTAGTTTTGGTATTGGGATTAAGGATGTAGAATATGCAGAATAACACATTAATATGTGCTTTATTAGTACCAATAAACTGCCAATATAGTAATATGCATGCTAATAAGCAACTAGTTCATGGTGAGAATTTGACCATAAACTAAATTTTAAGGTAACACCAGACATTGTTCAAACTGGTGAATCTCATGAAAATAAGTCCAGGTCACATTTTACATAAAATAAAATAAAATAAAATGATATATGATATGGATCTTTATGATATGATTTACAGATGAAAGTTATTACTATTATTAGAATTTTTATTATTGTTGTTGTTTTATTGAAATTATTTTCATGATACTACAGTCAGAGCTGCCAACTTTTGAGTTTAGCTTGGCGTGAGACTTCTTCACCGTCGTGCGTGGTTAGGAGATCAACATCTGTCTCGCATGCACTCTCCCTCTAGATCAGATTAGGGCATATTTTAACTAATTTGTGGTAAAACTAGTCGAAATCAGGAGTATGGCGTGAGAATTGGCTCAATTGCGTGAGAGTTGGCAGCCCTGCTACAGTTGCATATTTTTGACAAACCAACCAAAATGCTTCTGAACATTTTTCTTTGTAATGTTCACTACTCAATAACATTTATTGAATATTATAGAATGATTCATTATTTTATTTTCAGTGGTGATTGCCATTTCATTCTTATAACAACATACATATATTACAGTAATATGAATTATTATTCTCAATTAGTTGACAGATATTATTATTAACACCATCATTAATACTTAACAATATTTAATAATTTGGTGTATAATATGACCCGGACAAGTTTTTGACAGCTTTTGTGAGATTTCCCCCAACCCTCTGAAGCTTTTGCAGCTCATGCAAGTGACTGTGCATTGTAAAACACATTTACAATAAAGCCACAATGCATGCTCTGGTGCAGTGATGCTCTGGACACATGGTAGTCATCAAGCCTTTTCCCCCTCTCATGCACAAGCAAGAGATCTTTATAGATAATGCTTGAACTCACTAGCTTGGAAAGTTTCATCTCTGCACTTCTTACCTCATTTTCGCAGATGTAGTCTTTTGATTGATAGCACTCAAATTCCTGCAAGGAAATAAGGTTATCCTTAAAATATGTAATTATATAATACGATGTATAATATAAGTATAATACGTATAAGTATAATACGTACAGTATATAATATGTACAGTACAAGTATAATACGATGGTGTCTTGTGTTTGAAAGGATCTACTTTATCTGTCTGTAATGCATTATTCTACCATTCTATCTTATCTATCATCTGACAATGAATTAAATTTGAAGTGCTACCAGACTCTCTGATATGTCTTTTTTATCGATTATTTTTTGGGTGTCTCTCTGTGTGTACTGCTCTGATGGGGCTCTTACTCAGATCTGTAAAGGGTAAAGGGACTGATGTGGCTCATGCCGAAGCATGATTTAGCTGATCTACTAGGGAAATCAATCAAAATATGTCATTATGCCACTCATTTCAAAAGCTTGCACTCAAAGAGATGTCATTCTGCACAGTGCTGAAAAAATTTGAGGGAATATTGTTGTAATATGGTACTTGGATATTTTAATTTGCTTAAAGGTGGTACCTGGATTGAAAAGTTTGAGAATCACTGATTTATATGATTAACATTTTTCATTAACATTTTTAAAGCGTGAAAATTTGTGTCATTTAATTTCATTTAATGTGAAACTTTGTTTAATGTTTTTTTTTTTTTTTCATCAAAGAGGATTTTAAGAATAGGATGACCATTAATGTAGTACATGATAGTGAGTAAATTGCGACAATTATCTTTTTTTAAGCAAACTATTCCTAAAAAGTTCCTTAAATTTTCCGAATTTAAATTAAATAAATAAAAATAGAAGACATTTTTTTATTGTACAAGCAAATACTATTGCAGTCTTTTTTACTTCAAAATGTCACTTTTAGTTCAATGTATTACTTGTCATTTTTTGTAATCTTTTGTTACATTTACTAGCAATTTGATAACACTGTACAATACGGGTGCACTACTGTAATATACATTAATTCATACGCAACTAAATTCATACTTAACTTTACTTGTTGAGGCACAATAGCCATGTGCCACAACAAGAAAAGTCATAACATAATGAAACCTTTGCAAATCATTAGCTAATGATTAATCAAAGCAGACAACTGGAAGTTGAAGTGCATAGCTATGACTAATTGTGGTTAACACATTAATTTACACTAATTTTAGTTAATAAAATGTGTTAAGGAATTAATACACAATGACACATTGAATTAATAGCAATTCATGTATTACTTAATCTGTTAATTATATAGACTCTTTATTAGTTGCTGATGCAGTAATAATTAATTAATGATTTATTTCGAGTCATACATTAACTCATGACTATTTGTGCATTAGTTAATCATGAATTATATTATTAATGCACCCGTACTGTTACCAGCAAGTTCTGTATTCTTTCAGTGCTTTTCACTGACACCTAGAAATTTGATCTATTCTGTTGTGTTGTGTTGTATTCTGTTCAAGTTCTGTTAAAGGGTCATAAAACCCCAAAACAAATTTTCGGAGATTTTAACAGAGGTATGTGTGTTGATCACCATTGAAGACAAGCATCAGTTGGATTTAATAGTAGGGTTAAAATGGTTAAAGTTGAGTTTTTTTCCTCTTTTTTCGTCTTCTGGGTTTAAAATCTTCACCGTGTCCACGTCAACGGGTGTGACGTGGCCGTGCACTCTGAGTGCGTTGATGACTCATCGGTGTCTCATAATTATTTATGTTTTCATATCCTATGAGAAGACACGGTCTCTTAATTATTCATGACACCACGTGGATCTTTCCAATGACAGACATGTCAAACTGTGATACATCACATAGTAGATGAGAAGAGGCAATCATGGGACGCATGGGAAGTGTTTGTTTTCATGGTGCAAAGTCCAAGTGGATTGAATGTTGCTCTGCGATGCTGCCAGGGCTAGACTGGCTCTGGATGGTTGGTTTGCCATCAACTACGGACACATTTAAACAGTCAACAATCTAAACTATAGTGTGTGCCGCAAACATTTTCTCGAGAGAGCTTCGAGAAGTGGAGAATGCTGGACTTCTTGCGAGTGATGTGGTATATGCGGGTCTAAAATGAGAAGTCATCCACCTCCGCCATCTTTATTTTGGGGGTTCAAGGGGCGCGTAGATCTAGGCTATGCATGGAACGATTTTAAGCGGACAATTAATAATTTTCAAATGCAATTATAGTGTCTATATAAACCACTATATATTTTATGATGATGACATTATACTTATATATGTAGCCTACATTAATATGTTTTAAATATAATTACGATTATCGTAGGCTAATACTGTATATGTAGCAGGGCATTCAGTACCTTTTGAAAGGACAATAATAAGGTGTCAGTGTATTTCAAAAGACTTTAACTTTGCCAGCTATATAAAAAATCTAGCATTTCCTCGCGCTTTAACACTGCTTTTTAGTGACAGTTGATATGCATGGGGCATTGGCGATGACAGTGACGGCCATACGACACCCACTCCCTCCCTTCTTCTCACAGCAAGCCACGCCCATTTAAGTTGCATTTTTCAGAATGATTGTGAGCTAGACTTGAGCTGAAAGAGGGGGGTTTCATGACCCTTTAAATAAACTCATATAATATAGACAGACATACAGTACATTGTCCAATTCTACTCATCTTGCTTTACTTTAAGCAAACGCTTTAGGCCTTCTTTTTTTAATTGACTGAATTCTCATAAGTCCTCGTACTTCTGAAGGTCTTTGCAAGGAGGTGCAAATCATTCCCTTCCTATTCACTCATAGCCATACATTTATTCCTGCATGTTGTAAAATTCTGTTCCCCAAACAAGGTCATCAAAGCTTGTTTGTCAAGACGTCGCCGCAGCATTGTTTATGACAAAGAACGATGGAATTGAACTAGTGCACTCGCACAGACACAGGCTCGCCCTAATCCAATAAATCTGTTTTCAATTATGTTAGAATAAAGACTGAGACCTTTCAGCCGCGCCTGGAGAACATCTGCGCGCCCAGGTTGGCATTTGCAATAAGCCCACTGAGGCTTAGAAGAGATGCAATCATCTCCCGACACCTTCAAGATAGGACAAAAGTATAGCGCGTGGACAAAGACGATGGCCAGTCTCGGTTTTTGAATTGTTTCTAGAGATATCAAGAACACCTCTCTGCGATTTGTAATTAAAATCACATTCTTGCAGCAACATCCTGCATATGTTTGCATCTCACAAAGGTGTTGGTTTAATCAGGTGCTGTAGTCAAGAAAACCGAACAGCCACAACACATATAATGGCCAGGAGGCAAAGACTGTATCCCATAGGGATTTAGTGTCTCAATTTGTGTCCGCTGCTCCCTTAGTCAGCCTTCTCTCCACACAATGCTATTTACCCGAGACTCAATCGATCTTAATCTTCCCTCCTCTGATTAAAAGGTAGATCATGAAGCACTATTAGAATGAGTGATTTCAAGATTTGAAGTGAAGTAAGTGCATTATATGAGCTGTTAAAGTGCGGGCGGAATTTTACCACAAACCCCCGCGTCTTATTCATGAGCAACCCCGTAAACCAGTATAAGAAAGTGTGAAAATTGTTGTGTGGTTATTTTAAGTAATTTTGATTCTTTGCAATAGACACGCCTCTTTCAATGTAAATTAGCATTGCTGCACAATGTGCCATATTCAATTAGCATTGAGCTACTAAGGAGTTTAATATTCAAACGATGATGTCATGATGAAAATATAACCACACATACAGTAAAGCAGACACTTGCTGTTTAGTGCACTAAAGAGCCAATTCAGTGCATGCCGTTTCAATGAATCAATTAAATGAGTCCTTGGTAGCCTACAATAAAGTTCCATTTAGTTAACATGAACTAACAATGGAAAATAATTCTAAAGCATTTATTAATCTTGGTTAATTTTAATTTCGAATTTTGGAAGAATACAAAAACAACCACACAAACAAAAACAAGGAAAACATGATCATATCACTCAGACCCAGCTTGCAAGATTTCATGACATGGAATTGTGCCGTGCCGATTGTATTGAGCACAGAGGTGTTTTTGCTGTGTTTTGCACAATTGCCCGATTTGCATAATTCATTAAGCGAATAGGGTGCTAAAACAACTTGTGCAAATAAACAGACACTCTCGGTAGGTGCAATTCAATCTTAGTGAATTCACCCAATTATGTCTATATCTTCCTGTTACTGCCCATAGCAGCAAATCAGTTAAAAGTGAGTTTCGGCGAAGGAAATACAACTACAGTAACCGATATTTAATTGCGTATCCATGTTTGTGTATGGTATGTCTCTTTATTTTGTTTTATGTGTCATTTTGATGTATGAATGTATGAATAAAGTGATTGTTTTGAATTAGCGTTAGCTCATGCAGTGAACTTTCAGCATCTCTTGTGTAAACATGCATAATTAGATGCAGGCTTAGGCAAAAGCCAGAACTGCCAGAACTGCAGCTGGCAAAGAGAGCGAGAGAGAGAGACAGAGCGAGATACGAAGGAGGGGACAGAAATTGTGTGTTGACAGGCGAGGATGTTGGTGGGGGTGAGAGAAACAGAGGACAGTGACTAAAAGCCAATTAATTAGCGAGAGCAGTGATGTGTGTCAGCTGCCTGTTGACATCAGCCCAGATCTCTGTTCACAGCTCTGCTAATGCCCCATCTCTTCGCTTTGCTTTTCAACATCTCCCTCCATTTGTCTTCTACTCATTCACATCTCATCTCTTTGCATTAGAAGTCTCACACTTGCCCTGATTGTTTACACTGAAACACATAGAAAGACACTAACATGTAGTCTTGCACCGCTACATACATCCCTGCTCAAACACACCAACATACAAATACTAGCATTCATCCTAGTACACAGGACTTTCATCTTTTTGTGAGAACAAACCAAGCTTCACATAAAACCATATGTAGGTGCACAGATCAGCAGGCCAATGACAAACAAAACAAACAACAACAAAATCGGTGTTGGATTTCCTTGTAAACAATTTTCACTTATAATTGCTAGTACATTTTAAAAATAATTACAAATAACTGACAAGTAACATGAATTATTTAAAAAAAAATTATTTAAACTAAAACATACTCATAAAATCTTCTTACGTTGTATTGTGACACATTTTATAGCAAAGCAAAACATTCAGTTGGAATTAGCATTAGCTCATGTAGCAGGGCGTGGCTAGATTTCATCCATCAAGATCGGATCATGAAAAGTCAGGGATTAATACAAATCTTTTCCAATCTTTAATAAAAAAAAAATACCACCTGCAGTCTTGGTTACATCAACTTAAAATATGTTTCAGAGTTTAATTTTGTGAAAGCATCATCAAAGCAAATACATTAACATAATATGGGTGTACCAAGAGATTGGTCATCGTTTTAATGGGCCGATATTCTTCTCCTGTATTCATTCCCCTGTGATCGACATTCAAAATTCAAAAATTCAAATGAGACATCCTTAAATTGAGATAATTATGCGATAATTATGTTTTTTTTTTAAAACCTAAATATTGAATGTGATGTTACGGCTTAGCAGGCCACAAAAGAGGAGAACGGAGATTTGGATCTAATTTCAGCTGTTTACTTTAACAAAACAAAGCAGATAATTCAACAAGAAAAAGTATGTGATTACAGGATAAGAAACAGGGACACAGGAACTATCTAATATAAAAGTCTTTGGAAAAGGAAACTAAGATCAGGCTACATGTTACGGTTCCTGTTTGAGTCATTCCTGAGTCATTGCCGTAATTCACTGAGAGCACAAACATACTAAGAATAAACGTAAAATAAATGAACAAATAAAGATGTGATTAGAATTCAAACTGTACTTATATCAGAACTGGTATCAGCTTCAAATTTTCTGATCGGGACTTCAAGTGGACTCGAAAATAACATAATTATGAGTTCCGAGCACATGACCAATTGAAGTTATATTTAATGAATTCAGATGTAGCCATACGGGTTTATTGTTCATAATAGAATTTAAAGGGCACCTATTATGGAAAATTCACTTTTACATGGTGTTTAAACATAAATGTGTGTTGGCAGTGTGTGAGCAAAACCACCCTAGAATGATACAAATCTACCCAGTGTTTTTTTTTTTTTTTTTTTTTTTTTTTTACAATCTCAATAAATTATATGCACTGTCTCAGAACGAGCTGTTCTAAGATTCAGCGGTTTGTGACGCAGAATTGAGCAAGGGGTTTGATTGACGTGTGGTTGTGGCATAGACCCCGCCCTCTGTGATCTGTATACCATCCTCCTTTGTTTCAACGACAGCCGGTAATGTCTCGAAACATAAGTGTTCTGTTGTGGGATGGGAAGTAATAATGACATACATAGTAGTTTTCACTTATTTCCGACATCAGAGCCTTCCTATTCAATTTTATGGCGTATCCAGAAAAGTTCAAACGACAATCATTAGTGACAACAGATTCACCCGCTGTAAAATGCTAAAGACTTTGTTCGGACATCGGAGTGGCTACAGAAAATTATTATGTTGGTTATACTTACAAAAAGAATAATCTGCGATTCTGAATGCCAGTATCCACATCGGCGTGGTGATTGACAGGTGCACACTCTCCTCAAACATTGTGTTCATCCACTCTGTGCCATGTCGAGGGTGTTGAACTACAACTCACGTAAAATTGATAATTCCACGAATGACAGCAATTGCAGATTTCGAACAAAGATGGTTCATGACTTAAATGTGGGACATATAGTAATAAAGAATGCCCAACATGGAAGTACGAATTTCCCATATGCACTTGAAGGTAGCATAATTTTGTGATTCTTTGCTGTAAGTTTGACACCATCAAAACATTACTTTTAGAATCCCTGATTTAAATCAGATATGTTCTTATTAAAAGAAGAAATGGCAACCTCCACATCCGTATAAGTGGAGAAAGCGTAACCAGTAGCCATTTAAGGATTCAATCCATTGGGGAAATTAACATTGGGAAAACCAATTTTTTTTAATGTCAATTTTAAACGTTCTGTTTCAAATTGATCCAATGTCACTGATTCCTTTGCGCCATGGGACTGTCGCATATTGTTAACAAAAATATAATTAGGTGAAAATTGCTTTTTATAAAATATTTATAACATGTTTAGTATGTGTATTGTTAGATTGGTGCATGCAAATGAAAGTTATTCCTTGTGATCATTTAAACATGCTTTGATTATTACTATTATTCCATTCTTCTGTTCTATTATTTTCTAGCTGTAAAACAGTATGAATAAATTGATGAATATCTAATAATTCATACCAAAAGTATCTTTCCCTCAGTAGTGCCCATGAGCGAGACATGTCACTTCTACATGTAGATTCTATGAGGGAACATCCTTTCTGCCTCAGGCAAACTTTAAGTGCTATTGGACCTGCTAGATAGAGCAAAGCACCCCTTTTGAGTTTCACCTCCAAAAATCACTGTGATGCCAAACCCCTTCTGGAATTAAAACACAGTAAACCGAGCGAGACTTTGCCTATTTTCTCTCTACCTGTCAGAGTGAGAAAAATGGCCCCTGGCAAACTATTCATCTTTCGTTTGAGTGGGACCAGAAGAAAAGAAATATGAGTTTCAGCAATGGGGTGAATCTGTGATGCACATCTGACACAATTTTGAATTGCTGGAGAATGGTAAAGTTTGACAGAGTTTCCCCTCAGGCATTCTCTGATTAAAAACTTCCTGCATGGGTAATGCACTAATTATAATTTTTTTCTTTACAATAAATTAAACATTGCTCTACTGGCCCAGCACGTACAGTCTTACACATACGCACACAAACACATCATGCAGTGTAAATAGTGACATGCAGTTTTGTGGCTCCTTGGGGAAATTGTGAGGACACATTTTTCTGTCTTGTCTATTTGTGTTGTTTTCTGGGGCGCACTCAATCATTTACATTTTCAACTTTAATATGTTAATTACGGGCCCATCAACATCTCTGGAGAGTATTTTACACTCAGGTGAAAGACCTGAGTGAAAGTAACGTAACGTGTGTGCGTTTGTGTGCAATTAACCAAACAAAGGTACAAATGTCAACTAATTTATATCTTGTCAGTTGTTTATTCTACAGCTGTTCATAGCTTGACTATCGTCAACTAGTCCAATCAATGCTAATTAAATGCAAAGTAGCAGTTAGCATACAATATTCCTATGTGTAAATATGGTGTCATGTTTTTTTTAATACAGCATGTTTGATTGAAAATAATGAGTAAAGTGTTTAATATATGTTCTGTATAAATGCAGCTTTGTTAGTGGTAAGATCTAAATATTTACTAAGCAACATGTTCAGTATAATTCATTCACACAGCTGTCTTTCTTTTTCTGCATCAGTGACTAAGATACATCCATTTCTCATTAGACTTACCCTTGTCAAAAAGAAGTACACTTTTTTATATCAACTATACTTAAGTGTGAACTTGTGGACATTTAATTGCATGTTAATTGCCATTAATTGAAAATAAAATATTTCTTTAAATTAAAATTAAATGCAGTTATCTACAATTTTGAGTGCTGGTTTGACCCGCTTGTGTAGGTTTTAAGTGCATTTTTATATGAAATTTAGGTACACGCAAGTTGCCGTTATTTAATTATTAATATATTATCTGCAAGTACAGTTTTTTTTAAATATACTTGAAAGATTTTAAGCACATTCAATACAAAAAAATGAATTACTGTAGATAAACAGTATAAAATAAGTACACTGCAATAAACTTACCTGTAATTCGATGCAATATACAATACAAAAACTTCCTGACCCTCTCAAGTTTGACTTACGTTTAAATTCGGACAGGACGATATGATGCAGGGATCCTCCCCAGTTTCCATGGTTGTTTTAGGGACACTGGCGGTGGGCTCAAGATCAGGCTTCACTGAGCTTGTAGTAGGATGAGGATCAGGCTTGGGTAGTGACCCATAGCCAAAGGCCTGGATGGCATTTCCTGGAGGAAAAGAAAAACAAAAGAGAAAAGAAATCATAGAATCAAAGGACATTTTCATAAGAGTATTTTTCTGTAGGAAGTCAAAAATTCAGAGAGAGTTTAAATCGCTAGGTCCCTTGAGGAGAAAAGTAATATGTGTGTTCCTCTCCAAGTTTGTGAGGAATGAGGCATTAGTTAGCTGTACATGGGGGTCAGCAGTTCAGCTAAATACTAATCCTGCAACGCTTGCAGATTTTGGATCAGTTAATTGCTAGAAAAACAAACCAGGACACACATCCTCACCACACACACATACACAGGCTGTCTCACAATTTGGTGAGCCTTTCAAGCCTTCATGCTTGTGCGTGAAACATGTTTAATAGGCAACAACTTCACTTATAGTACCTACACTGTAAGTATAGTATAATGCTGTTTACATGAAGCAGACAGGAGATTTGAACTCACAATTAATTGAGTTTGAATTAAAAGAGTTTACTAACATCAAACATCAGGACCCAAATACTGTTTACTACTTTTCGGCATGCTAACATCTCATTCAATCCACAACAAGTCAAGTATATTTACTTGACAACATGGATATATGTGATTTTGCCTTACAATTCACCCAAAATAAGACATTTTTGCAACAGCCCTTCCATCAGAAGTGTGCCTACAATTCCTTAAAATGCAGTCTACGAAAGCAGCTTGCTAGTTTTGGTAACAGAGCCATGATTAACATGTGAATTATACTGCATCCTTGCTTGTTTTGAGTTGAAAAACCTCAAAATCTCTGTCAGCCTATCTCACAGTGGGATATCGGATGAAATGTCTCCTGTGCTAATGCCTGAAGCTCTGTAGCGTATTATTTTATGTTTTCGTTTCCGCTATTATTTCTTTCACTCTCCGGAAGATATTCATGCCAAGCAGTCAAACTTTTTTTTTTTGGCATTTCTTCATCTTATATTCTCTTTTATTTGCCTCCTAATTGTATCTCTAATAATGATTTTATATATATATATATATATATATATATATATACGAAATGTGATAAAGTCTGTTGAAGGATTGTAAAGTTAATCTTTCTTTAACAGATTGGTAACACTTTACATGAAGAGGTGTGCATTAGACTGACATGACACCTTCATAATCCTTACATGACACATGGCATGGAGGTCGTAAGGCCATGTCAGCAGCGTCTTACATCATCAGCGTCACTGAACGCAGGTTGACAACGGAAACAGAACAACAAGAGAATCCAATGCTGAATAAAGTCGTAGTTTTTGGACCAAAATGTATTTTAGATGCTTCAAAAAATTGTAACTAACCCACTGATGTCACAAGGACTACTTTGATGTCTTTATTTTCTTTCTGGACAAGGACAGTATACCGTACATACATTTTAAATGGAGGGACAGAAAGCTCTCAGACTAAATCTAAAATATCTTAAAGATGAGAAGAAATGACACTAAAAATTTGAATAAAAAATATTAATATAGCTTTTTTTAAGCAACACAAAAATTGCGCTAATTAGTATTAGAGTGCTGCAATTTCGATGACGTCACATGACGTGACATGGTAGGACTTGCGAAGGTGTATAGACAACAGCTGCAGGTCCTATTTACACAGACAAAAATTAGCACTTTTAACAGCATGGGTTACGCATTTGAGCCTGTGAGGGACAGGCCAGTAGTATCTGACTACCACTACATGGAGAAAGATCAGTTTCAGGCTCCACCAACAGTACAGGATCGTTTGGGGTAAAGTAACTGGTGTGGGCGCGGGCGCTGCTGGTGCATGGATACTGCACCGGAGTTGATCTGTTGCAGAGAGGTCAACCTGGAACATTTATTGATCGCGAAAAATGCATCACCATGCACTGTTCATTTCGGATGCTGTGCGGTGAGAGAGACGTGTTGGAGGTGGCTATACTATCTCTAATGGATGTCTGAGCTGAGACACTGAAGTGCCCCATAAGTTGGAGGGTATTTTACGAATTGGTACTAGGCTAGGATAACTTGTTATATCCTTTTCTCAGACTGTTTAGGTTAACAGCGTACTGGCAGTTCACTCTATGGGTGAGGGGCATTTGGGAAGGAGGAATATGATTCCGATGGGATATTATATGACTCCGATATTACATTCGTACAGTGAACTATACATCAGGGGTCTTTTCCCCTCAGCCGAATATCAAGGATTCGAGTAACGTTATGCGTTGAACTTGTAACTTGGCTAAATAAAACATTTGATGCAGACGCTTCATTTACTCATTGACGAAAGTACATAACGTCATCTCTAAACTGTCTGTCGCTAAAAAATCCTCACTACAGACTCGGAATCTAGGGGCTGTCGGAGGGCTAGACAGTTTTAAGGCAGCTAGCCATGACTTGAGGGCTGGTGTCCTTGTCAAAAGTAGCCTGTGAAAATGTATCGTAACCCCAGTTGCCTTATCCCTATACAATTCATTATTACTACAGGCAGGGGTAATAGAGTATGAACCTAGACCTGGTGTTTTCTGTTTCCTCAGCCTATTTACAAGCTACGGCTGCTCTAGTGGTGTGGGTATGCAACGGGGTAGCTCACCATGCCAGTGACGTAGCCGAATGTTGAAATCCAACATGGCAGCGCCCGTGTAACAAAAACATTTCCAACGTACCATTTTATCACTTTTTAATAATTGTACCGATTTAAAGTGCATACAAGTTTATATCTAATAAAGGTTAATTTATTCACTGTTTAGGAACTATTATTGTCTCGAAACTAAAGGTGTGGTCACATTAGAGAAAATTCAAGGTCCATCTATTGTCAATGTCAGGGTTTGTGCTGGCAGAAGATGACGAGAAGGCTGAAGGTACAAATTATTTTATTCACAATTACTCAGAGAAATAATATGGCAGATAGCACAAAGACATTACATAGACGAGAACGGACAAAGACTGACTGAACTGAGGGGACTAAATATAGACACAGAAACTTTCGTCCATCACCAAAAAAAAATCTAATCGCGTTTGATTATCTGCGTTTTTCGCATCCGTAAGCAGTTTGAATGGTGTTTTGACAATTCAGAGCCACCGAATCACGAATACGAAAAAAAAAAAAAAAAAAAACGCACACGAAAATTTCGGACTCAGTGTGCAATGGCCTTAAGAATGACAACAGAAGATCAAAACAGAAACAAACGTGACGTATCATTGTATAAAGCACAGAATTGAAAGAATGGAAAACTATGTTATTCATAACACACGCTGCAGGAATTTGGAAGCCAGGGCAACACCTTCAACTCTTGGTTCCTGAACAATGTGTGCAGGGTGGCAGGGGACATTTCCCTGCTGATAGAGTTCCCTTTCCACTAGGGAACACCATTGTCCTTAAGGGGTGTACCTGGTCTGCAACTGTCTTTGGCTGTGAACGAGAGACTAAACAAACGAATAACACATTAATCACGAGGATGATGAGGAAGGTTTAACTGGCTTTAATGCAACAGTTATTTCCACAAGGTACATCCAAACACAACTACATATACGAGACCCGACAAAGACACACCAACTAACTTGAACTTAAGAAAGGGAGATTATGAAACGCACACACCTGAACACAATCACAAAATCAAATTAGAGACCATGACGACAAACAAGGCAGGATGAAACAGTGAATGAAAACAATCAGAGTTTTTGGTGGTGTGACTGCAGCGTTTCACAGACTCAACAAAGACTCATCAGACCAGGCGATCTTCTTCCACTGGTTCAGTTCCAATGCTTGCAACACCAATTTCTGTCAACACCAATTTCTGAGTGTTCTGTGGCTACACAGCGGTGTGTAATGCACTGTGTATTGTGACACAATCCTCCCATAACCATCATTAAAATTTTGTATGACATTGTCTCAGAGTAGATCTTCTTTTGGCCTGAACCAGACGGGATAGCCTCATTTTGGCCTTGCGTATCAATGAGCCTTGTGCACCCAGCACCCTGTATCCAGTTTGTGATTCATCCCTCCTCAGACCACTGTTAGTAAATTCTCATCACTGCTGTCTGGGAGCAACCCACACCTTGCCATTTCAGAAATATTCTGACCCATTTGCATTGCCATAACAATTTGTCCCTGGTCAAAGTCGCTCCGATCTTTATTCCTGCCCATTTCTTCTGCATCCAACACGTTGATTACGAAAACCTGATTTTTTGCTTACCATCTAATCTACCCAGACCTTAATATGTGGACTTGTTAGGAGACGATCAACGTCATTCGCCTCACCTGCGACTGGTCATAATGTTTTGGCTCACCAGTGTACGTCACAATAAGAATGCAGACTTTAATGCTAAAGAATGAACATCCTCAACTAAATCTAAAATCTGTAAATCTAAACATCTGCCCGTATTAATTTAATTAGATTATCATTTGAAAATAAGCCAAATAACTCAGTTTTAAACGGCTGAAGTCACACATTATCACCATTAAACACCAAAAAAGGAGTCTTGTAGCAGCACACGGTAACAAGCCAGGGAGGAACCCTTATTTAGCCTCAGCCGACATGTTTACTTTTTTGCTAACAAGCATGACATTAGTTACAAAACAATCAGACTTTATGATTCTGGAGGTGGGTAGAGCTTCCACACATGGGATGAGTTTTGTAAGGGAAAGTAAACACAAAACATGGCAGCTTTAAACATTGTAACAGTAGCTGCAGCATTCAGGTTTAAAAAAAATGTAGCAAAGAAACCTTTCCAAACAACCGCATATTCATATAAGTACCATAACCTGAATTACTCATCAAAAAGGTGAGTATAATTCTGAATTGTATACAATGAATGAATGAATGAATGAATGAATGAAACCTTTATTGCCCCAAAGGGGAATTTGTTTTACACTCATGGGAACCATAATAAACATAACCACAAAAACATAAAATAAACATAAATAAAGAAGAATAAAGACAAAAGTGACATGGAATATATCAATTTGACAACTCTAAAATATTCCGCAGCTTAAAAGAATCAATAAATAGATATATATTCAATAATGCACATTCAAAATCAATCTATGTGCCCATGGATGATTCGTTAAGTAGTTGAATGCTCCTCGGCACAAATGAAGTGATGTGTCGTTTAGTTTTAGTTCGGGGCATTCTAAATCTACGTCCAGAGGGGAGGTGGGAAAATTCTGTGTGAAGTGGGTGCAATGGATCCTCCAGAATCCTCAGTGCCAACTTGAGGGTATACTGGTCAGTAAGATTTGTGACGCTTTTCACATCAGATCTAGTGATTCTCCTACCCATTTTTGTCACCTTATCCAGCATGTTCCTATTCTGGATAGAAAGACCTCCCCCCCAACACTGGATTGCAAAAGTAACTACACTCTGAATAAAAGTCAAATAGAACAGTGTCAGGGTACTATTCTCTGCATTAAAACTGCGCAATTTTCTTAAAAAAAAGAGCCGTTGCTGTGCTTTTGAGTATCTTGCTAATGTGTTCGCCGACCAAGTGAGTTTATGATCAATAATGGTACCCAAGTACTTATACTCATTCACAGTCTCAATAACTATCTCATTAATAGTAACCGGTTGCAATGGAAGGGGCTTTTTTCTAAAATCTATGACCATTTCTTTTGTTTTTGAAATGTTTAAAAATAGTGAATTTCCACAACACCATTCATAATACAAATGCTGAAAGCTAAGAGGTGAGAGAAGCTGGAAGGGACGGACATTAGGTGGAACGCTTTAATGACAAAAGCTGAAAGACTTACGCAGACAGGTGTTTTCCATGAAGTCCTGTAGAAACTTCTCACATTCCTCTTCCTGATTTCCGCTGCCTTTGCAGGAACACCAGGGGGAGATGGTAAAGTTTGAGTGACCCGAGTCCATGTAGTTAGGAGTCATGTCTGTACCTATAGGCAGAACAAATCAAACAAAATATGTCATTGGTTTGGTTCATTTGAAAACCATTTATTTGAAAAAGATATTATTTGTATCAATGTAAAAGTCTTTACGTTCACTTTTGATTAATTTAATGCATCCATTCTGAATAAAATGATTGATTATTAAATTACTAATTTATTTTAAAATCGCAATGACCCCAAACGCTTGAAAAATGGTGTATATGTAAAAATTATGATCGCAGTTTCAAAATTAACAGTTTTGTATTAATTGTATATTAATGTGCTACCTATTTCCTCTCAGTTTCATTGGTATAGAAAAGCTATTCAGAAAAGTTGTTGATTTTGTTTGGTGTCAGTTTGACCACAGCAATAACATAATCTAGATAAATAGCCTATGCAAATTTACTACATCTATATATCAGACAGAATCATGAAAAACATTCTTTGCTCACCAATGAGTCTGGTGTAAGACGCAAGACAGGCCTGGTAGTCATCGTTGAGGCAGCTGCTGATGGAGTGAGGGGTCATTTGACAGTTTGTGTGGAAATCAGCCAGTCGTGACCTTGACAGAAAAACACAGCATCAAGCCAACATGAAACTACATGGAAAAAAAAAAAAAAACGAAATGCAGTCAGTCTATAGTTTTGCCTAAGGGTGAAAAATTGGGGAAAGTTTGTTTGTGCATGTGTGTTTATGCCTGAAGAGGCCAGCTGCAAAACACAAAGGACAAAGTTTGAGTCTGTGCATGTTCAGAGGCATCTTCAGCTTTACACATCAATGCTTTTTCTTCAAGATAAGGCGAAACCATGACCATCTCTCTTTCTTTTGCTGTCTTTCATTCTTTTTCTCTCTTGTCCGTTAGTTAGTCATCGTTGCTGACTGCGTGACCACAACATGTTTGTGGTTCAGAGGCATCCTAGAGGTCAGGCAGCAGACAGGACATCCTCTCTGGAGCATAAGAGCTTCCACAAACACTTGAAATGTCTCCTTAAAGTCATCTCCCTCCATATCTCAGCCTTTCTCTGTCTGTGCAAGCAATTTGTTGTTGCAGAGAATTTTTAACATTGTCGGACAAGTTTACAGGAAATCTGGGAGCAGCGGCCGAACAAGTGAACAGACACAGTGGCTGTTTCTCAACACCCACAAACATCACCAGTCCAACCACACACATAGTCCTCTGTTCTTTTCATTTATAGGCATTCCTTTGCTGTTTGGTTGGCTATCTTATTCCGAACAGTTTACATCTAACTGTGCATGACCTCGTTAGTAGTTGGTTCCAGCACACGTACATGTCCATATATTTGCATAGACACTAATGCATACATTAAAGGGTTAGTTCACCCAAAAATGAAAATTAAGTCATTAATTACTCACCCCCATGCTGTACCAACCCCGTAAGACCTTCGTTCATCTTCGGAACACAAATGAAGATATTTTTGATTAAATTTGAGAGCTGTATAACTACCACATTGGCTCCTAAGGGACTGCCTCTTGACGGCCCAGAAAGTCAATGAAGAAAATGTTTAAATATCCCAAGTGACTACCGTGGCTCAACTATATGTTTATCAAGCGACGTGAATACTTTTTGTGCGAAAAAACAAACAAAAATAACGAGTTTATTCGACTATTTCTTTTCTTTCTTGTAGGCCAGAACGAGACTTCCTTAGATTTCCACGACGCGTGCGCGAGAATTGCGATCTGCTCACAACAGCCTTACACTACTTCAGATCGCAATTCTCGCGCATGCGTCGTGGAAATCTAAGGAAGTCTCGTTCTGGCCTACAAGAAAGAAAAGAAATAGTCGAATAAACTCGTTATTTTTGTTTGTTTTTTCGCACAAAAAGTATTCACGTCGCTTGATAAACATATAGTTGAGCCACGGTAGTCACTTGGGATATTTAAACATTTTCTTCATTGACTTTCTGGGCCGTCAAGAGGCAGTCCCTTAGGAGCCAATGTGGTAGTTATACAGCTCTCAAATTTAATCAAAAATATCTTCTTTTTTGTTCCGAAGACGAACGAAGGTCTTACGGGGTTGGTACAGCATGGGGGTGAGTAATTAATGACTTAATTTTCATTTTTGGGTGAACTAACCCTTTAATAACATATTGACATCTAAAACTGTTTATGAATCCTCGGGGTCATAGAATATAGCCTATAGAATGCTCACCAAGGCTGGATTTTTAAAATGAAAATGATTGTTTTTATTTATTCAAAATGTAATGTATTTATGTGGTAGCATAGCAAATCTATTATTCCATCCATCAGTGTCAGAAATCATTCTAATGTGCTAATTCGCTGGCTTTGTTATTTTTAAAACATGCTTTTAAACATTTATTATTTTCAATGTTGAAAATAGCTGTGGTAATTCATATTTTTGTGGAAACTCTGTTCCGTTCCCCTCAGTATTCTTTGACAAACGTTTACAAGAAAAGCATTCATTTGAAATCTTTAGTTACATCATCTTTCCTTTAACTTTTGATACATTGAATTTGTCCTTGCTGAATAAAAGCATGACAAAATCCAATCCAATCCAATCATGAACATACTTTATTAAAGTCGGTATGAAATCAAATTTGACTCAAAATTATTAATCAAATTATTATCTTATGTAATATTGTAGTCTTTATTGTAAATGATTTTTTCTGCACACTTCATTATTTTTTCTTCATTATTTAAATTCATGTACCATTATAATCTTTAATCAAATTCATTACCCTTCCATCCCCCATCGAAACAACCTCTCTTCTTTTTCGGTCACGTGCATTGGCGAAAGGGTGTGGCCAGATCCGACGAGGGTATGGCTATCGGTGCACCGCCTCTCAGAGAATCACATTCAAATCTGCCTCCATTTTGTTTACAACGCCAAACCTCCAACGAATCAATTTCCGAAGGCCGAAATCAAGCCCTGCCGTACATTTTTTTCAAATTTCAGAAGCCGTTTCATCGGATATAAGTCACAGCAAGGAAAAAATGACAATCTCAACTTCCGTTTCACGTCGACTTTAAATATACATGTGTGGAGTGTGAATTTTGGAACATTGAGGAATTCCAGGACACTAAACAAGTGGTCAGTAAAATTATATTAAAGCTGCAGTCCGTAGCTTTTTTGGGGTTAAAAGTGATCCAAAATACATATTTGAGAAAATCCATAACCAGCCAGTGTTCAAAACTATCTGCTTGCCTAAGCTCGATTCAAAGCGGTGAGCTTGTATTAATGTTTTTTTAACTCCAGTGGTACTGGTGGATTTCTGCAGGAGATTCGAGCATGTCTTTACGTCATTATGTCACATCTGTACACATAAAGAAAGAGTCTTGTCTAGAAGACTATATTGCGTATGATAATGCTGGAGGTGGAGATTTATAGCCTTTTCTCACAGCACTTGATTTTATTAAATTTATCAATTTGATGGCAGATCCAGAAAGCTTCAAACGACAGTCACCAGTGACAACAGACTCACCCGCTGTAAAATGCTAAAGACTTTGTTCGGACTTCAGAGTGGCTACAATGCTGACGTTTTTAACATTAACAACTTGAGAACAAAGTATACTTTGCACGGTTGATATGATAACTTAGTGATTGTTAGAATTAATCAGTGCGATTTACTGCAATGTCAGAACCAGAACAAAAGTGGATGTTTCTTATAGTTCAGATTCCGATGAACCCTTTTCCGATGAAAATTATTATATTGGTCATACTTCCTAAAAGAATGGGCTATATGCACGCATAAGTTCCGCATTTGACGTAAGGATGCTCGTCCATTTCCGGTTGTGTAGATTAAAGCGGAGGAAAACCGGAGAAAACGGGATTATGGCAGAGTCTTCAATATTTGCTGTCCTCCCGTCTTTGAAACGAAACGTACATACGTTTAGATGTAATTGTATATATAGTTATGTTTATTTAATATAATTTTAAAAAGAAGCATAAACACAACGAGGGGTGTCTGTTTTATCTGTTTTTGTGACTAACGTTTCATTAGTATAACTATGGAGTATAAAATTCAATATACATTCTCGGTATTGCATTGGACTCTATGATCGGCGGAAGTTATCGAGCATCCCTAATGCTTCACCGGAAATAACGCCGTGCATAGAGCCCATAATCTGTGATTCTGAATGCCAGTATCCACACCGGCATGGTGATTGACAGCCTCACAGTATCCTCAAACATTGTGTTCATCCACGCTGTGCCGTGTCGAAGGTGTTGAAGCACAACTCACGTAAAGTTGATAATTCCGTGAATGAACGCCGGAATGCAGCTTTAGCTAGAAGAACTTGTTCTCAAACAAGCCTACTATTAAACATGATTACAGAAGTTTTTATTATTGTATTTTTCAGACATTATCTGAAGTCTATAATCTTTCCTTCAAAATCCACTTGGCAAACACATTTGTTCAAGTGCTCTTTAGTGCACTCTAAAGTTTGAGTCAGACAGAAAGTACAGTTAGAAGTTGGTCTCTGTGGAATGTAGTAGTCTACTGGATACACTCCCAGCAGCATCCAGAGTGAATTTAATTCATACATCTTTCCTTCTTTCTAAATGCACCTTTAATTAGCATACCGCTAAAGACCCTGCTGTGATTTACATGTCTAATTACATCTGTTCTCGCTGCTGGAATCAAATGGAGAGGTGCAAAATATATTGATGTACCAGTTGGCTTCCCAACATGATATTAATACTTAAAAAAATAGGACCTGGAAGTACGAAAACTTTTCTAACTTTCTTAACTATTGCACAATATGACGCACAGACAAGATGTTTTATATTCTGTAATACATTTAACATGTTTTTTTGTTTTTCAAAGCAAAACCACTAATGCCCAATGAAATAAATACTTGACAAAAGTTTGGCAAAAGCTAAGTTTAATCCAAAGAATTTACAGTACTTCTAAATAATGCAACAGCTCCTATCATACATAAATTATTGTATGCGTTTCTGTGAAAAATCTAGGATTGCTCTTTGGATTGCTCTGAGTAACAACGCATTTTCATCCTAGGGTGTCGTGTCATCTAACTGACGCTTTTGACCATGCGTCTAAATCCGACGCACATGGTAACCTTTAGCCTGCCTACCCGCGTCATCTAACTGACGCTAAGGGATGCCACGTGCGTCGGATGTTGACGCATAGTCAAAAGCATCAGTTAGATGACGCCTAGGGATGAGAATGGGCTGTGAGTAAATACAAAACAAAAACAGTGCTACAGACTGTTGTGAATAAACCTGTAAGTTGAAACTCATTGCTCAGTAGTAGCGTTCAGTGAAACTTCTCAAATGCTTAGGCAAAGTTCCCTCTTTGTTTCATCTTCGGTGCGATGTAAATTAATTTATAGTTAGATTTGATATTTTACACAGTTTACTGGGAAATGGCACATGGGATATGATTTACCTTACATTGTAGAGACTACAACAAGCAATTGATATTATAATATTTTTAATTATTTATAATAACATTCTTTTTTTACTTAATCCACAGCACAAGTTGAAAATAATAATAAAAATAATACAGAAACAAGAATATTTAAAAAAGAATAGCTATATAAACAAGAATTAATTTTATATTT